TCGCTGTAGCTATGACGAGCATTCTTATTTTTTTTGAGGTCACTTGGCGTGACCTGGTGACCTGACCTAAGGTGACCTGGGTCTGAAATTTTCACAACATGTGCGTAAAAGATGTACAAACAGGTGTGCCAAAAACGGCGGCGCTCCGCGCCGCCGTTTTTGAGATATCTGCGAAAAACCGCAGGGGGGGGGGCAGACTTGTAAACGACTCAAATTTTTTTTGAGTCGATTCTTTGTTTGAGTCTGGAAATTTGAATCGATTCATCAAACGACTCATGATGTTAAATTTAATTGATTCGAATCAACTCATGACTCATCAAGTTCCTCGATAAAACGATTCGAATCAACTCATGACTTGAGCAACAAGCCAACGGAATGATTCGAATCAACTCATGACTCACACATTTTGATGAATCGATTTAAATCAACTCATGACTCACACGACATTTTTATTGAACTTATTTCATTCAACCCATGACTCACTATAGGCATTTGTTGATTATTTGACTCAAAGCTATGATAAAATGAATATGCCGCATACCACAATTGTATTAAGCAGCATAGTAGGTAGCCTTGACCAAAGATTCAAGCAGCTACCTAGTAGGACTAGGTACATAGGTACCTACCTTACACCTACCTATCTTCAACACTCAACAGTCAACAGTGCAATGTCAGATAAATTTGTAAGTAACTCTGAGAGACAATTATAATATAAGTAAGGACTAAGGAGTAGCATAGTAACCTATCTCTTATTATTACCTAGAAAGTCTTATTTGAAAATTCAAAAGCACAAGTTCCGAGAGGCATTCATGTTTTTTTTTTTTAATCAAACTTTTTATACATGATAATGAGAGAAATGTTACTACTTCTTACATATCAAATAAAATTATTCAAACAGTACAACCTCAAAAATAGGATTAATCCCACCTGTGAAACATTCAGCATCACCATCAGCAGGGACTCCATGGGCCACGAGGGCATGAGTGGCTCAGGCCTCAGAATCGGATATGATCTTGAGTTGAGACTCATTTGAAAGTAGTTAATGTAGGTATACAATATACATTCTCCAAACGGCACCTAGTTTAGCAGTGCCAACTGGCTGCGAACAAGGAATATAAAAAAGAATATTGTTAGTCTACAATTTTAGTTTAAAAATGACGTCATTGAATATTAATCGATATCAGGAGCACCGGAGCACTGACCAAGTGGCTCTTTTGCCTTTTGGTAAAAATAAATTGTCATTGGTGCAATTCGGGCAACGTCATCCGGCCAATTTGTCACGAGATTCAGACGTGAAAGTTATCAACTGCGCCATTAATGTAGTCTTAAAGCATACTTTGACTTTCACATTTTATTCTCGAATTCATGACGTCACTCATAGTACCTACATATTTTAGGCGAATGTAGATCGCTGAGGAAATATTTCAAAGCCGCTCCTTTACATTATTCTGAAGATTCTATGATGTCATAAAACAAGTTTCTTTTTAAACTTCTATTTCATGGGAAAATGTGCATTTTGTGGTTTATTGGCAGTTGAGCATCGCAATTTTGCGGTTTATAGGTGAGTTTATTTGTATTATAGCATAGCCTATAGGTAGTTTATAGGCTATAGGTAGTTTGGGCGTATTTGACTCTATGGACGCCCAAACTCTCATGCTGTTGATTGATTATTGGGACCAAATTGGGACTGGGAGAAGGGGAGGCAGCCGCAGGTGTCAATTCTGACTTCTGACATGTAAATGTAGGTACCTAGGTAGTGTAGCAGGCACTTGGTTTGGTAAGACTAAGTACCTACCAACTGCAAAATGCTTTTGGCTCATTAGGCGCCTGTGCCTGAGCCTCTGAGGCTCTTGTAAGTCTGAAATATGGAGTTAAGTGATGGCTAAAGCTGAGGGGGTGATCTAGCATTGATTATTAGGGTGTTGATGGTGACTTGTAAACGACTCAAATTTCTTTTGAGTCGATTCTTTGTTTGAGTCTGAAAATTTGAATCGATTCATCAAATGACTCATGATGTTAAATTTAATTGATTCGAATCAACTCATGACTCATCAAGTTCCTCGATGAAGTGATTCGAATCAACTCATGACTCATCGAAAAACGGTTTGATTCTGAGTCGATTCACGAATCAACTCAGAGTCGTTTACAAGTCTGGGGGGGGTGTTCAAACACCCCCCCCGGCCCGGCGCGGGCTAGAGTACCGATACAATCACATTTTCGCTTATTTAGCTATTCTGAACCATTTTTCGCTTTCTATTTACTATCAAATGTCAATTATTTTCAACAAATATAATGCATTATAAAAGGTAATGTATCTCTCCTTTTTCGTACATCATTTAGGAGCAAAAAACCTCGAATTCCTTTATTTTTCCTATTAAACAATTAAGGATGGTTGCCCTTCCCCATACAATGTAACAAAAATGCTAGAAAAATATTTGCAAGGGTTAAAAAACATTATTTGGCATAGTGACAAAGTCACCCCTTTTTTCAGTTTAACTTTGCCACAACTCATTTTCTTTAAAAATTTATATTTTTCGGCAAGATATAAATATGATAATAGCAAACCCAAAGAGCTAATCTTCATCCGTGTTTTAAGCATAGAGTCATCCTAATAAGTTAACAAGTTTAAAGAATACAAGAGTCTAAAGTTGAAAACATGGCAAAGTCGCCCCCGTTTACGGTATCAAATTTCACGAAGTTCCTGAAAACAGTTGCGTTGAAAGTCATTTTAGATGAGGACCACCGAAAGACCATTGGCAGGCTTTTTCGAAGTAGTACGTCAATGGGAGAGCCTCGTACGTACAAATGCATAATAAAAGATTAGAATGTCGATCTTAGTAGCCTAACGTATGATGGCAAGGAAGTACTAGTGGGAGTATATAGTAAGAAAAACGCTCAAATTTTCAGGGAACGTGTCAAATTGATGTATGATAAGGTACTGCCAGGGGGAGGCACTCGCCCTGGCCGTATATGGTCCAGAATGTCTAACGATTTCCGCCATGTTGTGTATACCAAAGTCTTGAAAAGTTGATCATGCAATCAAACTGCAAGCATGAAGCAGCAGCACTTTTGAGTAGTGTACCTCTCACTAAACTGCACCTCTGCTACCGTACATGCAATTTATATTTCTGGTATACACAACATGGTGGAAATCGATAGACAAAAACAAGTCACCAATGCTCCTTCCAGTATATATTAGAGTTCAGTGGGTACTGCAAGTTTGACGTCGCTGGCGTAACACGTTTAGAAGTTACTAGGGTTACCCGCGTGCTCCGCAACGCGAAGGGTGGATTTTTTGACCCGTGGGTATTGGGTTGGTCTGTGTCGATTTGGTTGGTAGATATCCATTTCGTTCGATTGCTTTTTGACGGCCAAGCATTTTGTAAGAAAACAAAAGGATACATCGCATCGAGGTGCCCGTGTCGTATTATCATGCGTTCTACTTTAGAATGATTCGAAAACTGGCGTGAAGTCTTTTGAGGGCCATCGATGAATTTCGCTAAAAATGACAATGTAATGGTTTGGAACATTTACATTTTCAAGAATACTGTTGCTCATCATGCAAAAATGAAGATTGAATATTGGACAGAATTGAATGCTCTATCCAATGGTACCATATTCAATTGCCAAACGTATCAGGTTATGCAGCAAAACCCGTGTAATTAATAAAGTGGCACATCATCGACAAACACCATTTTCTCTAGCGATTTGTACCACCTTGGCGTCGATCAATTAGCTATTCACAATTTTTATATGAGAGGCGGTCCCTTTCTCTTGCAAATAGGCGTTGATTCAACTCGCTCCATTTAACGGTAACCTAAAAATAAAATTAATTCCAAAATCCCTCAAAAACCGCAATTTTTCAAATAAAAGTGCCCTCTCCGGTGCACGTGGCGCGTGCTATCCTCTGCATTGCACACCATTCAATAGCCCGTTCAATTCTGTACACGATGCTGTTTTCCACGTGCCGGTCGGACCCCTGGTCACCAAGATATTGCACGGGAACTGGACCCGTGTCGGCCAAAATTAGCCGTTTTGCCCGATTTCGCACGCCGATTTATACATGTAAAGTCTATGACGCGAATTTGCACTTTTTGGGCACGCGCCACGCGCTCCCTATCAATCCGATCGAGCTGAGACCCCTCAAAGGCACGTCGCGCATCCTTGATCTATAAGTTGTGCAAATTTCACCGGGCTAGGTGCAACGGTCTGGCCTGTAGTCCACGCAAAGCACCACCAAGTCGGGACCTCGGTAACGGACAGACGCACCCTCCTCAAATAGTAATATAGATTGGCGAAAAACGGGAGGGGGTCAGATTCTGCCCCCCCCCCCCCCCAGCGGGGCGCGGGTTAAAATTTAAAAGATAATCCTTTTTACAAAAAGGTTTTATGTTAGTTTCTGATCATTTTGAGCATAAAAAATCATAAATCCTTTGCAAAAAAAAAAACTAATTTCAGGGAAGTGAACCATTTACTATAAAGAAAAGTTCATCGTGTCTGGGCTGTGACGAAAAATAGTTGACCTAAATCAGATTATAAAAAAACAGGATTTAGGGGTAACCTCGGTTTGGCTCCTTGAGCCTCTGCCTCCCCCCCCCCATTGAAAATTCCTTTGAGGAGGCCCTAGCAACAATCTCAGGATCCCGCGTTTGTTAATACGAGGAAAGTTGTTCTCCTTGTCACGTGACTGTCTTAGTCATTTGAAATCCATGTATCCTTGCCACTGAACTCTAATATATACTGGAAGGAGCATTGGTGACTTGTTTTTGTCTATCGATTTCCGCCATGTTGTGTATACCAGAAATATAAATTGCATGCACGGTAGCAGAGGTGCAGTTAAGTGAGAGGTACACTACTCAAAAGTGCTGCTGCTTCATGCTTGCAGTTTGATTGCAGTGATCAACTTTTCAAGACTTTGGTATACACAACATGGCGGAAATCGTTAGACATTCTGGCCCATATACGGCCAAGGCGAGTGCCTCCCCCTGATCCTTGCTCCCTGTCTTTGTTTCTTCGTAGTTTTAGGGACTTGGCCTCTTTCAAGTTTCTGCTATCGCTGTGTATCGATGCTTATCTGAAAGTAGTGTTTGCTGTTAGACAAGCTCCTCCCCTGTCACCACACGGTCCGGCGGACGCTAAACCCTGCGCCAGTTGGGCTCAGTATGGCCAGCCAGGCGCTGCTGATAGCAGTGCGGCTGTGCTCTCTGCTGCCGGCCGGGGCACTGGCCGCCGTGCCGCAGGCCGCTCTGCAGGTGCTGGCCGACTCCCTGAGCCGCGACCAGTGCGTGCAGCTGGCGCGGCAGCTGGCCGTGCCCGAGCCGTCCGGCCGCCTCGACCAGCCGTGCCTGGCGCTGCTGCGCCGCTGGAACCGCCCGCCTGCCGACGGCGCCGAGCTCAGCGCCGCCCTGCGCGACCTGGGACAACTGCAGCTGGCCGAGGCGCTCACCAGGCGGCAGCACCGTCAGGGCGCCGCGGCGCTGGCCGACAGTCTGCGGTCGGCGCGCCGGGCAGCTGCCACCGAGCAGGCCGACGACGCTGAGGAGCAGCTCGGCGCCGACAGCGACGACTCGGACCGGCGGCCGGCCGGCCGCGACCGGCCGCCCGAGCCGGACGTGTTCGGTGCGTCCGGCGGCGCGCTTCTGCTGACGGCGCTCTTCCTGACGGCGGCGGCGGTGTGTTTCTGCGCCGGCCGATCGGTTTGCCCGGGCCTGGCGCACTACGACCCGGCCGCGCGCAGGCGCAGACGCCAATCTGTCTCCGGCCGCGTCAATCAGATGCTGCGCGCGCAGCGAGTACGCGGCAAGATGGCTCTGTTGACGGGCCTGCCATCTGTCGGCGGCCGCAGCCACTCGCAGTACGCGCCGTTGGCGGCTGAGGAAGCTCAGCCCAGTGTGTCCGTGGCACCGGCTGTGTCCGTGGCACCCACGGCTGTGTCCGTAGCACCCACGGCTGTGTCCGTGGCACCCACGGCTGTGTCCGTGGCACCCGCGGCCACACGGCAGCCCACGTGATCACTGCGGTGTCACAAAGGCTGGCTGGTCATCCTCAAATGGCGGCGCTCATGGTTGGTGAGCGTGTGTGGCTCGCTTTTCTTATAACTAGAACTTGTTTCCCAGAGTTTCTTTTTTCTTTTCTTTTTTTTCTTTTTACTTGGGCTTTGACCTGGTGTTTCATTGCGTTCTTTGCGCTGTACGTTCCCTCCGCTTTGCGCACAGGAACCTATTGTGTTCGTTGCGCCGCCGTCGCTGTGTTCACTACCATAGTATGGGTTAACACGCGCAGTGGAAGGGTTGCGAGTACTACGCCCAGTGGAAGGGGGGCGGATGTCGCCCCCCCCCCTAAGATCTCAGCTCCCACTGGAGCTAGAAAGACGAAATTTGGAGGGTAGGTGGGGGCCCAGGGGAACTCTGTTGTGTGTGAATTTCATGACCCTAGGTCAATATCTTCAAGGTCAAATGAGGTCAAAAGTGGTCAAATCTGCCATATTAGCGACTTTTTTGCGTTTACACGCCGATAACTCAAAAAGTTACCGGCCGATTTTCTTTTTTCTTTTACTATACGAAAGAACATACATTTGTGAGTATGTATGGTGAATTTCTTGTTAATCCAACAATAAATATGGCAGTTAGAAGCCTGCTAAGCGTAAGATGTCGCCGGCTGAAGCGGGATCGGCGGACGCGGGAAACGCGGCAATCACAATTCTGTGTTTACACACTCATAACCAGTGGCGGCGCCACGAATTTTCGCCAGTGGGGGCAAGCTTCAGGTGACCTGACTGTTGTTGATACCCCAATCTTCAGAATCCAGCAGCACCTTGCACCTAGATGTTTTCATTCGAAATTAATATAGTTTGATGTAAACGTATTGAACTGAACCACTAATATCGACATCACATAAAACTATAAAAACAGATGACGAGACACTAACTTGTGGAAAAAATTGTCTTTTGAGAAGTTCAATGGCGCATTCCCCAAAACAAGTCGGTACTTTTTTAATTTCCCGAAGTAAGTATGTGCGATTGTTTCACCCATGATTGATATAACAGAATAAGCTCCATCAGCGCGACCCACATATATTTCCAGATGACCCGGATATATCATTTTGTACATTTTGGTTGATGCATCAAGCTCCATCAGCGCGATCGGATATAGTTATCACATCACATTTTGGCCATGCCTCCCTGAGCTCAGTCTCAGCTCAGCCTAGGGATTCCCAAAAGAGGGTGACCTCTTGTCTGGCCGACTTTTGATGAACTGCCTGAGAACCTCCCAGAGGTCAAGCTCGAGGGCCGCTTTCTGGTGGATGAATATTAGTAGGAGATGCGACAGACGGTCCTGACGCATCGTGGAACGCAGGTACGTTTTCACGTGGCGGAGCGCCGAGAACGAGCGTTCTGCTGAAGCGCCCGAAACGGGGATCGTCAAAAACAGGCGTACTAGTTTAAGGACTTCACCCAGCATGCCTTGCACCACACTGCCTTCCTTGCTCAAATAGTTCGCCAGCTCACTGACAGTTTTCGCTTCACGAGCGAGTAGTGAGTTGTGCAGGACTGTTAGCTGAGATGCCAGCAGTTGAGGATCAAAGTCGCTGGCTTCGTTCGAGCAGAACACGTCGAGTGATTCCCTCACGGCTTCGGCACTGACGTCCTTGGCGGTGTCCAGAAGTAGATCTTCTATAGCTTTCAGCCGCTGCATTCCAGGCTGGCTAAATCGTCTCTCCAGCTCCCCTGTTACCACGTCGATTACTTCGAAGTACACTCGACGGAGTTCATCCTTTGGCTCCAGTTCCGCAGCTGGTGCTGGGTTGTCCGTGTGCTCCAGTCTTCTTGGTAGCCTTTTCTTCCGTGTTTTTTTGGGCGGTTGGATGTCGACGTCGAGTTTCTCGGACATCACATCTACACGGAGACATACTTTCTCGAACTGATCTTCTTTTCTCATTGCCTTGAGACAATTGATCAGGATATCGGCACCTTTCATCACGTCGCTCATGTTCAAGCTGGGTGTCTGCAGCTGTCGAGCGAACAGCTCGCATGGAGTGAAGATCTTTTCACAGAGTATCATACCGAACACAGTTTCATACGCCTGCAGCGCGGCGAGTTGGCCTCTGATCTTTGATCTGACCTCACTCGACACCCCCTTGTTGGCTTGCAGGTCTTCCAGCGTCTTGACGATAGCGTCATACTGCTCTAGGAATCTTCTGAAAGCAGCAGCGCGTACAGTCCACCGTGTTGGACACAGCGCCAGAAGTTTGCGAGGGGGCCCGCCTCCGAGGGCGTTGCAGTCCTCATCCAGCTCCGCTCCTTCGATGACGTGCTCCCGAAGCATATTGTGCCGCTTTCCGGTGTTCAGACAGCTGGTGATATCTCGGGCCAGCACCATTACATCGCTGATGAGTCCAACTTCTCTAGCTTGCTCGGTAAGAGCAAGGTCTAGCGTGTGGTTTGAGCAGTGGACGTATATCGCTTTCGGTTGCTCCCTTGTTATCCGGGCCTGAACGCCTGACAAACGGCCAGACATGTTACTCGCACCGTCGTCGTACTCGCAACCTTTCCACCGCCTTTTTCCAGTTGCGGAACCCCGTCAGGAATCCCTTCTCTTTGAACTGGGTTTCCCTCACAAAACCATTGGAAAGCGCAATGCGACAAGTGTGACATGTCACAGAATCTGAGGAGACGTGGTAATCGAGGAACGGGAACTGCTTGAACCACTCCTTCCGGAACCGACGTCCATCTTCCACCGGGAAGACAATCGTCGGCTGATTAGGCTCATCCAGGACAGGATCAGGGTGAAGGGATCGACCTAGAAGCAGGGAAATAAGGACGAATCACAATGAGCACAAAGGATCACAAGGTCATTGTGTCAGCGAATGCTTGCTTGCATCGTGTTTGCTGTTAAAACACATGAGTTCAAACAGTATGTTGTTTTTCCATGTCAGGATTGAGCTCGTAGTGTCATACAACTAAACAAATTGTGGATTTGGTACGCCTCTACGGAAAGGTTATAGAAACAAATTTACGAAACAATGTGTCCTATGATTCTGCAAGCGGGTCAACTTTCAGAAGAAAACAAATAGGAAAGACTGGGCCAACTGTTTAATGTTTGTCACTGGAGATAGGGGACTAGCTAGTAACGGCATTAACGTGTAGTGGGAGAGGTTATATGTAGGTACACAAACTTGAGAGGATGGAAACGACACACACCAATGCATCAAAATCATACCTTTTCCCAGCCCTTGCGCTTTTTCACCATCTCCTTCGCATGCATCCAGGGGGATATCAGGAACCTCTTCAGCAGCAGCCTGGGATGTAGAAGCCTTAGGTGGTGTCTCCTTAGAAGGGGGCCTGGAAAAGGTTTTGGTATATTTGGCACATTGCTACTTATTTTGGATAAGAGTAACAAGGAATAGTATTGAAGTCATAATTAGGTAGTCAGAATAGGTACCTAATATAAGATCTCCAATAAAAACATAGAATTCCAAACTTTTTCAATATGGGGTAAATGTGAAAATGAATGAAGTACAACACCAAAGAACACACAAGGAATGTAGGCAAACACTTAACATGATATACAATTATACATAAAAATAACGGAACAACAGAGTCCTGAAAATACTATTTCAAATGCAAATATCATAGGCTTATATTTACTATCTAAATTTGTGCATCAGTTACAAGAGCGCCTTTTTTCAGGTCGCACTAAAACTGCATTTGCTGAAACCAAACTATTAGCATATCACAACAACTATAATAACCTTTTCTGCATGGCCAGAAAGAAGTCATTCAAGGTGGCCTGTTTCTTTTCTGGTGGTGCCATCTTCTTTGTTTGCTGTAAGACAAGCAGTGATTCATTTTCATTGGCGATACAGATACAGAGCATCAAGAGAGAAATATAAAATTGACCATCAATATATTGATGGATTCTCCATTAGATTTTGTATGCTCAAAAGGCAGCAGTACCATCAATAATTCTGTTTTGATTGCTGGGGGGTTAGGGGCACGCTGACTGTGAGGTCATTTTGCTCTGTTCTGATTGCAATGAGCAATCATTTTATTTTATCAACTAGCAATGATTACCATTTTTTAATTAGGAGGTATTTTATCAATGATTGAACACCCTAGCTTCATAATGAAAACCATAGTTGCATTGTCAAGTGAAAATTGTCTGCTATGATGTTCGGAACAGCTTTGAACCACCATTCTTACCAAATCTTGCCAAACTAAAATATTGATCATGTGAAAATAATCATTTCCTTTCTATGCCATAAAACAAAATTACTTCAAATAGCTTATCCTTTTAAATTCATGCTCAACTTAAAACCCATCGGATCTTGATGTAGCTGCAAAATCGCTGTTGCCCCCCCCCCCCCCCCCAGCACTCCACTATCTCCATAGTTTTGATGTGGCACTGTGGTATTGAACTAGATATTTAATCTACGGTGAGTTAAATACACTGATAGCAGGTCAGGTAGCCAAATCAGTGTTGGTACATCAGCATGGCCACCCATTAAAATGGGAAGATGACATTCTTGCCGTTTGCAAAGTTGTTAGTTTCATGGCTATCTTACATTGAATAGCCAGAAATGCTCCACAAACTAACACTAAAAAAGTGAACATCACCGAAATTGAAATCAATCGCGAACACCGCCACTCTCCAACACCCAACAAGCGCAATCTCCAAGTTGAAGTTGTGGGGTGGGCACCATAACAGCCAGTACGGCGCCAGCACCACGCAGCGCGCTCTTTTCAGACATCGTAGCAGCCGCGTCATTTTTGTCATGCGTCCAGGTGAAGGAAAAGTTATGCCAAATGAAGGAATTTCTCTGCCATCATCGCATCCTACACGACTTTGCATTGCAGTTTTGTACATTGTAGCCTTGTTTGCACCATCACATCCTATCCTATCATGGATATTGCACAGGTCTTCTGTTCCCTTTTCAAGATCAGCCAATTTTTTAGTGGGGGCAAAAACATAGTCTTGCCCCCACGGCCTTCTGTCAGTGGGGGCAGTCTGCCCCCACTGCCCCCACGGTGGCGCCGCCCTTGCTCATAACTCAAGTTGTTACCGGCCGATTTTCAAAATTCTTTGACCATAAGATTGCCTGTACATTTCTTAGTCTTCTCACAAAATTTGATGCGAATCGAATATAATCAGCGGTAAGGAGCGCGATGTAAAGACGGAACCGTCCCGCCCCGGCACAGTCTACAATTCAGGCGGCGCGTAACGGCTAGCGCCGGCCGCCGCGCCGCCGCGCCGCCACGCCGGCAGGATGTTTGACTTTACACCGCTATTACTAGAAAAGTTGTGACCCGATTTTTTAATTTCTTGCACGAGAAGATCTGCAGTTCAATTCTGGACAGGTAGCCAAAATTTCACATTAATATCATGTTTGCGGCGCGAGTTATTGGCGAAAAACAGGAGGCGAAATCCGCCCCCCCCCCCTTCCACTGCGCGTGTTAAACTTACGGTCTGCGTAATTGATTTGCCGAGCAAACTATGTGAAATAAATATAGGGGAGACCCGGACCCTCTCATTGTCGAGAAAAGAATATGGAGCATGGCACCGGCCCACACCTCCCGGGCCATGGCCCATGCCTCCCGGTGTATTTTGCTGGATCGAAAAAGCGCATGATTTATTGAAAGTTATCTCGAGACAAAGTAGTTGATCCCAGATGCCTAACATCAGGCACACTTCGCAGGCGAAAGCCAATTTCACGTACACAGAGTGAAAAACGGGTTTAGCCACTGCCCAATGAAAGAAAATTGCCTTTTTACAAAACCGGCCCATACCTCCCGGGTCTCCCCTACGTCTCGTGAAAATGCTTGGCTTCGGGGTTTGACTTTTTGATGTCATGTTTTTTAGATGAGGTAGGAAACGCAAGATGAGAATGATTAAATACTTACTTGTTGGGCACCCAGGAACCATTTACCATCGCCGTTAATCTTTATTATCAACGTTTGTTAAGTTTTACGTTGGGATTGAGATTGACCTGCCATCCGTGAAGTTGGCTTCAGCAACGGCAACAAAATGGTTCAATCGCTTCAAAGACACCAATCAGGTCAATTAGGAGACGTGGAGCACGACTATGACATTTATTTAGACCTAGTTTCCTTCATTTCTCCCTTAACTGCCTATTAAAAAACGTGGAGAAACAAAATTGCTTGGAGGATTCGTCTAGTCCCCAAAATAAAGAGCGTAATTGAATCCTCCAAGGCGCAGCTTCGGGTACTCCAAGAGTTCCATTATCTTTCATCCTGTTATTAAAGTGAATAGCGTATCTTGTTGCTGTGGTTTGTGTTACCCGATTTGCGTGACTGATGGCTGTCGTGGCCCGTTCGGCCGTCCCGGTATACGGTGCCGCGCGCCGGCCCGGCCCGGCCCGCCCGGCACCGGCTGCTGTGTGACGCGGCCTTGTTCGGCAGCGCGTCCGTGACCGGCTGAGGGAGAGCCGCCACCGTCTGCTGGGCCGGCTGCGCGGCCTGGACGGGCCGGCTGGTCCTACCTCCGAGCAGGACCAGCTGCTCCAGCAGTGGGAGCGCTTCGAGAAGGAGGTCATCGCCGAGGGTGAGTGGGCGCTCCGGGACCGACCTCAGTCCGTCACAGCTCCTCCGGGACCCGCCGCAGTCTGTCACAGCTCCTCCGCAGTCTGTCACAGCTGCTCCGCAGTCTGTCACAGCTCCTCCGCAGTCTGTCACAGCTCCTCCGCAGTCTGTCACAGCTGCTCCGCAGTCTGTCACAGCTCCTCCGGGACCGGCCGCAGTCTGTCACAGCTCCTCCGCAGTCTATCACAGCTCCTCCGCAGTCTGTCACAGCTCCTCCGCAGTCTGTCACAGCTCCTCTGGGACCGTCGACCAGATGCGCCTTATTGCGCGTGTAGTTGGTATCTTTAGTGTAAAGTTCACAGCTTCTTCGGGAGGTCTTCGCTCGAGAACACCGACTGTATTCTGTGACTGTTAATCGAGGACTGATAAAACAGTTTTAGCAGCACACGAACTACGAGTAGGTAGAACAATGCGAACGCTGTGTATTTGCCAACATTTACATTGCCGATGTGTTACCAGTAGGGACTCCGCCACCGGAGAGGGGAGGGTCGGTGGGTTTGCAGTGCGCCCATTAATAAGTTTTATGGGAGTATGGGAGCTGCTGCTGATTTGAACTAGGATTACCGGAATCCGTCAGTCGCGGCGCATGAATGCGTCAACACCCGCCGGCCCATGGGTAGTCATGACTCAGACCGTTTTTGTTTGAAGGGTCCACGTCAAAACAGCTAGTGACTATTGAGCTAGTGACTTTTGAGCTAGTATAAAAGAGCTAGTGCTTCAAAACAGCTAGTGACAAAACAGCTAGCGCTAAAATAGCTAGTAATGCAAAAAAGCTAGTGCATCAAATCAGCTATGACAAAACAGCTAGCGCCAATATAGCTAGTAGAGCAAAATAGCTAGTGCTTCATTATAGCTAGTGACAAAATCGCCAGTGTCGAAATAACTAATGAAGCAAAATAGCTGATTCGTACAGAGTACGAGCAGCTATTATATTTTTTTTCCTAAGTCGTTGGATTCTTTCCCGACGACGAGTCCGACGGGTAGAAGGAACGAGCAGCTATTATATATTTTTTTTCCTAAGTCGTTGGATTCTTTCCCGACGACGAGTCCGACGGGTAGAAGGAACAGAAGAGCACCGTTGTTTGACAAAATTATTTGGAATGTTAGAAGGAGGACAGAGGACGGGATCCCTAGGACAAACAACATATTAGAAGTGTGGCACCGGGTGATTCAAGGCATGTTTGACCTATCGCCCACATCAATAATGAAACTTTTCACCGCCATCCAAAAAGAACAAAGTATTTAAGCATCTGATCTTGTGAAATTCAAAAGTGGCCAGGATGTTCAAAAACAAAAGAAAACATATGCCTAGTATGCCTAGAGACACGAGTGTCAGATTAGTTACTCTACTGACTACTGAGACGCTACAGGGAAGCCGGAAGGCATCATTAGCAAACATAATTCATTCGGAGAGTGGGTTTCAACATCACTTTGAATGTTTGAGATGCCTTATCGCGGAATATATATTACTGACCGGGCCGACGAAATTATTTGGAAACGAGGTTTGCAAAATTGACGTAGGCCCGAGTGCGAAGCACGAGGGCCGGAGTCAAATTTTGCAAGCCGAGTTTCCAAATAATTTCGTACGGCTGAGGTCAGTAAGATATTTCCTACATGCCGCCTACCTATTAAAACGTTTTGACAGGTTTTGGTGACATTTATACAATTGTTTTGTCCATAATTTTCTAACAATGATTGCGCTACTGCTTTGGATGAAGCTTTGAAGGAAATTCATGGACGAAAATGCATCAAAATACCTTACTTCAAACGGAATCGTCTCTGAAAATATTTCCTCAGAATGGCACAACAATTGGATATCCAAGGAACATAATACATGAATGATTTGCCACTACATAAGAACAAGAAGAAGGTTTACTATTCCTAGTGATAAAACGTGAATTTTCCAGTCTTCTTGCAAAAATCTTTGCTTTATATAGGTATGTAATCGTGCTTTGTTGATGCCCTATGGCAAAATGTTCGTGAAATACATTATATTTTCCATATTTTACATGTTTGTTTCGAGGAAAGGACTACAACTGTCAAATAATATTTAATAACGCAATAAATGAATAAACTTAGGCCCAAGGAGACGGTGTACATATAAAACGAAGATAAGACAACAAACGATAATGGATTTCGGTTAATAGGCGCATATCTAACCATAATTTTGGCTTTGTAGCCAATACAAAATATTTCAAAGCCCTTTATAAGCAGAGCAGATATTTTTTACCAAAAAAAGTTAGCTTTCTAATTTTACGATGCAAATATCATGCAATAATGATGTCAATTATACATTTCCTGGGTTAATGCGGGCTAACGCGATAAGCTCTATAGTTTAGAGGTCATTGCCCTGGGCAGTAAATTCGGGCAGTAAACTTTTGTTTCCTGCCCGGCCTATCAAATAACATGGCATTTTGACACCGACAGTTTCTTGGTCATAGTTTTACTGCCCGGCTCGTGCTGTGGTTAAGACATACCCCGGCATGTAGGAAATACATATTTACAGTCATAGATATCTTGCATTTTCGAAGCAAAGTGAATGGGAAGGGAACAAGGTCCAACGAAATAGCTATTTTGACGATACTATTTCATCACCAGCTGTTTTGAGGCACTAGCCATTTTGCTTCACTAGCTACTTTGACGCTAGCTGTTTTGTCACTAGCTGTTTTGAGACACTAGCTGTTTTGCACTAGCTCAAAAGTCACTAGCTCAAATGTCACTAGCTATTCTGACTTGCACCCTTTTTGTGATGACTGTGACTCTTGCGCTGGTACTGGCGCGGTCTCTGTGCCCGTGTCGGCTAGGGTGTTTCATTACACTATGGTAAAATAATGTTGGTTCAAAACTCAGCCATATCGACTTTGCCCCAACTCTACCCGTAAAACTGAATCGATTGATACGCTTGAAACCCAAATTTAAGTATATTTAGGGGTCGCACACTTTTGTCACCAAAACTCGTTACACAGAGAAGGGGGCACATCCTTCCTTGGTGCGCTTGGGCAACGCCTTCCGGTTGAGTTCCACGACTCGCAGGCCATCGTTGTTAGGGCCCTGCCGCCCTCAATAGACCGTTGCAGAGCCCTCAGATGCCAGCATAGCCCCCGCAGCCTGGTTATGTTGGGGCCCTCAGAGGCCGTCGCTGGGCCGCCTGAAGCCAAATGGGCCCTCAGACTTGAGTTGGGTCTAGGGCCGTCACGAGGGCCCTCAGAGACCGTCGTAGAGACCCTCAGGGGCCAGTGGGGCCCCTGGAGTCCTGTGGGACCCTCAGCGGTCGTCATGAGGGCCCTTAGTGGTCGTTATAGGGCCCCAGGGGACAGAGTTCGTCGTGAGAACAACAGAGATCATCGTAAGGGCCCTCAGAGGCCGTCATAGGGGACCTCAGAGGCCAGCGTGGCCCCTAGAGTCTCTGTGGGACCCTCAGCGGTCGTCACGAGGGCCCTTAGTGGCCGTTGTAGGGCCCCAGGGGACAAAGCCCTCAGGTGGGAGCCCTCAGAGATCGTCATAAAAGGGCCCTCTGAGGCCGTCGTGGGGGCCCTCAGATGCCGTGTGGAGCACCAAACGCGGCTCAGGACACTTCTAGCCGGTGTGGAGGCCCCGACTAGCATGGGGCGCTCCTGACCATAAATAGACACCCCGGATGATTCCACATCAGTGTTCGTTTCCCGATCACTGGTTTTCAGGAGAAAATGTATCGGATGGTGCGACGGGCCCCTTGTATGGATTTTGGGGGTGCAAAAAAGATATGTTTGCACCCCATGTTTTTCGATGGGGGTGCAGCTGCACCCCCTGCACCCCCTATTCCGCCGCCACTGCCTGGCTTTTTCAACCAAATCAGTTCGCAGGAAGACTACTCATGTTACGGCCAGAAACAAAATCAGAGATGAGTCGTAGAAATGTGCGAGTCGCAGAAATGTGCGACCTCTAAACATCATCAGAATGAAGTGAAATTTTACACAGAAACTTGTGAGCAGATGACATTTGAGGGGATCATCGATATGACTCGCAATATGGCACTTTGAAAATGTGAAACACCCTAGTGTCGGCCCAAACTGTGGTCGCTTGGCGCCGTGACAGAGCCGTGCAGTGCCCTCAGAATGGCCGTCCCTGCTGTGTCCACAGAGGCGGAGCGGCTGGCGCGCGAGCACGGCCTGGCCCAGGCCGAGCTGGAGCACGACTGGTCGCTGCTGGCTGAGCAGCTGTTCAGCGACCAGCTGCCCTGTCCTCTGTGCCAGGCGGCCGCGCAGCTGACGGCGCAGTGCCGGCTCAGCTGCCGCTGCGGCCTGTCCGTGTGCGCGCCCTCGGCCGACCCGCACTGGGTGCGGCGCGCCCTGGCGGCCGCCGCCGCCGCACACGAGGCCGTTTGCGCCGAGCCGGAGCTGTTCTACTCGCAGTGCGACGGCCAGCTAACGGTGCTGTGCGCCAGCTGCGGCCTGCACGGCCCGGCCTTCCCCTGACGGCTGACTGGGCCCCGGACCGCCGCGCCGGCGGCCGCTGCTGGCCGCGGCAGACGACGGGCGTGTCAGCACGACTCCGTGCCGGCCTCAAAGTACCTGAGCTACCAGGATCGAGCCAGTGCTCCATTGGACTTTTGTGATGGTAGAGTCATGTGATAGGCACCTGCGCGTGCCGCGTAGCCATGTCTCCTAGGTTAGTATTGTCAGCGTTTATGATGCGCCAAACATTTTAGTGATGATCGTTTAAATGCATTCTATAGAAGCGTTTTCTTTTACTAAAAATTCACTGCTTTGCAGTAGTTTGAAGTAGGCAAATCATATTTTTAATCCATTAATGGGTCGCCTGCCTTGCATATGGTTTTATTTGGATGGAAGTGCTGTTTCGTCCAGAACCATGTTGAAAATAAAGAAATGTAAGCCACAGCGCAGCCGTGTTTTATTATGCTGAACTCTATGTATGTGTATGTACACTATGTACTCACACTCAGCCTTTTCCAAAGTTCCTTGTTGATCGATTTGATCGGGAGCAACAAATAGTTATAATGAACAGATGAGATAGGTCGGGTCGGGTCGGGCTGGCCGCCGTCGGGCAGCGACGGTACGTGCCGGCGCGGCCGGCCGGGCCGCCGCGTCCAGGCGCTCATTCGGCACATACCTTCATTTCTAGGTTGGCTCGCTGAGTGCGGGTCCGTGTGCGGCGTCCGTCTCAGACGGCATGGAGGCGGCGGCCGTGTGCGGCGTCCGTCTCAGACGGCATGGAGGCGGCGGCCGTGTGCGGCGTCCGTCTCAGACGGCATGGAGGCGGCGGCCGTGTGCGGCGTCCGTCTCAGACGGCATGGAGGCGGGGTCCGTGTCCGGCGTCCGTCTCAGACGGCATGGAGGCGGGGTCCGTGTGCGGCGTCCGTCTCAGACGGCATGGAGGCGGCAGCCGCCGTCACCACCAACACCGGACACTTGTTGTTGTTGTTGTTGTTGTTGTTGTTGTTGTTGTTGTTGTTGTTGTTGTTGTTCCTCCCGGGCGGTCCTAATTCCTAGCCTTCCAGGTGGTGTGGAGGGGGACATTTTTCCCCCCCCCCTTTAGTTTTTTCGATATTTCTCCAAAACCGCTGCGCCGATCGTCACCAGACTTTCAGTACCCTCCCGTAAATAGCTTTTACATATTGTACCAATTTTTTCCCAAAGGCTATGATAGGTTGGCCGCTAATGACGTCGGAGTGACGTCATTTTTGCCATTTTCGACCCAGAAAAAGGTTTCGCGGAAGAGGTGTCAGGCCTACAGCTTTAGAGATGCAGAAAAAGGTTTTTGACATAAAAGGTGTAACATTAACAGGGATATAAAATTGTTGTCTTGGATTTTTGATTTTTTTTTTGTTTGTTTTGCCCCAAAAAATCAAAACATATTTCTTAATATAATAGCCGAAAAATCAAAGACGTTTTTTGAATTTCGAAAAGTGGAATATATGTGATGGTCCCCACCGCCTTCTATCCACATGCCAAATTTCAGATTGATGCCTTTTTTGCCAAGTTTTAGCGAAAAAAACTTCAAAATTGATGACGTCAAATTTTCAAACTCAATTTTTAGCAATTCTAGACCACGTAGCGCACAACAAAGACCACCATTAGACTCCCCGTGACGAGCTGCGTCGAATCAATACCCATTTGGCATTTTATGCAAAACTATCAACTTCAAAATTTGATTTTTTTTTTTTACCTGAACTTGGCCTCACCTTTACCAGAAAGTGACCTAAGCCGTACCTGATGGTCTTATAACCAACACCATTGAGTTGGAAATGAAAAATTGGTCATAAAACATGCATCGTTCAACCTTAGTAAAGTTGGGTTCATGTGCTGACCAGGGATGCGGAGCCGTGGAAATTTCAGACGGCTCCGGCTCCGGCTCCGGCTCCGGAGAAAAAAATCGGCTCCGGCTCCGGCTCCGGCTCCGGGTGAAATGTTATGGCGGCTCCGGCTCCGGCTCCGGCTCCGAGTAAAATGGTCCGGCTCCGGCGGCTCCGGCTCCGACTCAGTACATCCCCTACGCAATCAATTAAATACGGGTGGAAGAAAAATTGGATTGGTTATACGCGTTACTCTTTGCCATGACCGGCTCACCGCGTCCCCGCGCAAACGCACCTCGGAGAGAACTGGCAGAACACAGGGCTAGGAAGCGATGGCATTGGAAACGCAGTCGCCGCGAATCGGAGTTCAGTGAACCATCGTAAGCTGACACCCGTCTCGGCTGCATTGGGGGGTGAGGGGTGGGGGGGGGGGGTGTGGGATGAGACGGTGCTGGGAGTCGCAGTCCACTGCACTGGTTTGAAAACAATGGCCGTCACCTGATGACTGGTCCTCATGTTCTGGGGATGCAGTAGACGTGGGGGGGGGGGGGGGAGAGCAAACAGGAAGTTGTTTGCGTACTGTGGGATACTGGGGATATTCGGATTTTTTTCATTCACTTGATGGCCCATGACGTAAGTACCATATGTTTTACTGCCTTGTACTGTCAAACCGAACTAGGTCAATTATTTTTTTTTCCTCTTCAAAAAATAAAAAGGAGCCGGAGTCGCCCCCTTTTTTGGCGGCTCCGGCTCCGGCTCCGGCTCCGGGCTATATTGTTTCACGGCTCCGGCTCCGGCTCCGGCTCCGGGCAAAATATGCCGGCTCCGGCGGCTCCGGCTCCGACTCCGGCTCCGGCTCCGCATCCCTGGTGCTGACCCTTGGTGACCTGACCTGTGACCTGACCTGGTATTGTCAGTGACCTCTAATAGCAACATATGTACTAGGCAGCTGACGCCCTATCGCTGATTCTCGACAAAATGCGTTTTCCTCGGTGTTATAGCGTATTCCCTAGAAGACTCGTGAACGGTGAAACATTTCATCTTTGATCTGACCTGTGACGTCATCGGTGACCCCTAGGTCAATGAAATTTGGTTTCCTTCGACAAATTTGACAGGCCTTTTGAACACCGTTTGAATTTTGCGGATCCGTCCAGTAGTTTCGGAGATATGAGGGGGGGGGAAAATAGCCCCCCCCCCCCACCAGGTTATAAACAGACCCCAACAGGGCGCGGGATATTGCAACTATCACAAAACTGACACCTCCTTGTTTTGCACGTGGCACGTGCATAAAGGGTCACCCACATGCATCGGGAATAGTCCAATACCTACTTGGTAGAAGGAATGAAGCTACCCTACAAAAAGTACCGCATGTAAATCGGTCCACGGTGACTATGAATAAATCGGTCAAGTGGTTGCTGAGATATACATAAGCGTCGCAAGAGCGTGACCACGGCCGGCCGGCCGGCCGCTCATACTCAGAAATTTCCGTTATTCTGCGTAAGACTCCGCTCGCTTCGCTCGCTCCGTAATTATTTCTTAAGTGGTTAAGCACTTGCAGGCACTTGGTATTCCTCACTTATCACTCTCAGGGTCACTGGCTGGCTCCTGAGAGCTTACACCATTTTCCCTACATTTAAAGACATGATGTGGAGATGAATTGTGAATTAAAATGAAATCGGACTTACTCCACAAGAGTTCGTTGGGTCGGAGCTTTCGAATTGTATTACAATTCTTCGTCAGCGAGAGTCGTATCGGATGTTAAGATCGAATCGAAGGTACAGTGCGGATCGAACAAAATATGGGTCCGACCCATATTTTGTTCGATCCGCACTGTACCTTCGATTCGATCTTAACATCCGATACGACTCTCGCTGACGAAGAATTGTAATACAATTCGAAAGCTCCGACCCAACGAACTCTTGTGGAGTAAGTCCGATTTCATTTTAATTCCCATTTTCCCTATGTAGGCGCCAGGAAAATGGTCAACTGGAAGGATCCTTTAGGTCCTTCCAGTTGACTAGCATGCATGTTGATTGTTGAATCCACGCGTGACTTTACTCCCGAGTTATTCAACTGCATCTTCAATGGTCAATGATTTGTTAAAGGTATCTTCGAATCGTCAACTTGATGAATCGATATAAGTTACTAACATTTCAAGGGACACACTGCTGAGCGTTGATACCAATACAAACGTAGGATAGGGTGGGGCAAAGCGCCTACCCTAACTTTCCAGCTTCAGTATCTCCTTATATCTTATAAATTTGAAGAACAGCCAAGTAGCTGATCGGGTAGCTCATTACCTTAGCTTTCTTCGAATAACACATCAGAAACGTGTGACATGAACAGTTTTTGAGATATGCTCAGTGGCGCAGCCAGAACTCTGTCGACGGGGGTGGCAGACGTTCGCAGTGCCCCCCCCCCCAGCAAAGTGAGCCCCCCTCAACCGAATGGGGCCCCCTACCAACAACGAAAACGGTCGCTGTTTTGTCGCGTATTTTTGGAAAATCACAAAACAATTTGAATAATTATTAGGTATGCTATTGATAACCTTATGCTCATATTAGTAATTATATTCAAAAAGAAAAGTACAAATTAATATATTTCGACTTGCGCCTTCATCAGAATATGAGATCAATTTGTCGACACACGAAATAAAACTAAGACGATTCACTGAGTACAAACGTGCATAAATAAACGGTGGCCTTCAATTCAAGATTAGGGTTACACATTTAGTAGGTCGAAATTCTATCATCATCATAGGTGTACATAAATAAACACAACATGACAGTCAATAAAACGTATAATACATATTTAACACTTTGTAATACATATTTATAGAATGATATATAGCACATACAAGTGAATATGATACATAACAGTGAATATGATACATAAAAAAATGTCATATAATATACATACATGAGACAATACATCATACATATAATGCATAAATACAATACCAGGTATGTTAAGTACAATACGAAATACATATATGGTACATAGAACAGGATACATATTTACATCGTATACCAAAGTATTTAAGTATGGTTCGTCGCAGAAGAGCCATGTGTATATGCTGGTGGTCTGAGGAGGGGCCAGGATGACGTGTGTGTGTTTAGAGAGGGTTTTTGGTTCCGAATTCCAATAGACTCTGATATCTTAAGGTCCGCTACGTCTTTGCACACTCGCTCGATGGAAATTTTGAATGACCGTGCAGTTATGTTGCTGGATGGGTGCTGCTGTGCCACATGGTCGCCGAGAGGTGTGTTGCGAGTTTTGTTTTTAGCGTTTCTGATGTGTTCGTTAAAACGATCCCGGACACGTCGCTTGGACTCACCTATGTAAACTGCTGGATTGTCGATGCACATGTTACACTCAATTTTGTATACAGCGTTCTTTGTGTGACAACGACCCTCAAGTCCCGCTTCGCAGGTGGAACAGCGCCTTTGACCAGCCGGGCAGGGAGGGCTCTGTAGAGCTGATTTGGTTAAGTACTGGGTCAGTGTCTTTCCACTGACCCAAGCAACACGGGCCTGTAAGCCTGAGGACTTGAACACCCCCTCTACCCGGCGGGCCAAAGTGTCAT